TTGACCACGGTACTCCCGGAGGAAGAGCTGCCCAGTGGTGGTGCCCCACATCATTTGCCGAGCTCGAAGAGCAGCGGCATTAGCGTAGTGCTTGCATTGTTGAGCATGGGCAGCCCGTTCCTTGGCCAAGGTAGACTATAGTTCAGCTCGGGCAGCCTCAGCCTGTGCTCGAGCAGCTTCAGCTTGCGCTCGAGCAGTCTCCATCTGTACTCGAGCGGCCCGCTCTTGCTCGAGCGCGACCTCTTTCTCCTGTAGCGCGGTTTCCTTCTTGGCCACCGCAACCTCTTTCACCGCAAGGGCGGCCTCATGCTCCGCGAGAACTCTATTTTTTAGGGCGAGCTCTTCATCAAGGGACTTGACTTTGACTTCGAACTTAGCTTTCAGTTTGGTCTGCGTCTCGCGGAGCTTAGTATTGTGGTTCAGGAGGGTCGAATTCTTATCCTGCAAGTAGCAAATATTGCTCTCGAGGCTTTTTATCGACTTTCTCGAGCTATCTCGGGCCTCCTTGGCTAAGGGCAAGAATTTGACTAAGCCCTGCAATCAAAAAATAACACAACTCAATCAACAGATAACACAATAAACAGGTCAGGAAAACACAGCCAGAAAAAGTCGATGCCATTACGGAAAAAGCAGTACCTCGGCGAACCATTGCACGAGTTGATCGCCAACCTCGGGCATCGTAGCGCTAGCCTTTTTTCGGTCGTCCTCGAGGAGGGCACCCTCGAGGCGCTCAGCCACCTCGTTTATAGAAGCGGAAAGCAGCGACGTCGATTTGGAGGCGAGGGGATCAGGGGGAAGATGGCCAACGCATCCTTGCTTAACGACCATCTCGCCCTGATCAGTGCGAGAGCATTTGTCTAAAACCAATTCATGGCCCCCGTCATCAGGATGGATAGACTCAACCAGAGCTTTGGTCGATTCGACAGAAGGAGCTTTGGAGGGCTGTGGACCAAAGGGCTGTTTTTCTTGGGCTTTGGTCTTGGAGGAAGTGTTGACCTCAGAGGATTTGTCTCGGGGATGAGGGGCTCGAGGACCCGTCTTCTGGGAGCGGTCATCCATTTTTTGAGAACGGTCAGAAGTCTTATGTTGGTGCTCGATGGTCTTTGAGCGGTTCGAGGATTTTGTGGTCGACTGGGAGGTAGATTTATGTTTCTGTTGTTGTTGTTGTTGTTGTTTCTGTGGCTGTGGCTGCTGTTGCGGTGGCGGTGGCTGTCTTTGTTGTTGGGGCTGTTGTTGTTGCGTTTGTTGTGGTGGTGGCTGTTTTTGTTGTGGAGGTTGTGGTTGTTGTCGCGGTGGCTGTTGAGATTGCTGCGGTCCCGGTGGAGGAGGTGGAGGAAGGAGGCCTCTCGTGAAGGCAAACGCTATTGTGGTTCTGGTCGAGACCCCAAAGAGGTGCTCGACCCCTCGACCTGGCCCCCCGTCTTCTTTTTCAGAGGGACTCTTCGCAGGGGAATGTTAAAGCTGAGAGCCTCTGCACGAGCACATCAAGCAGAATAAAGCCTGCATTAGCCTTAACTTCAAACAGAAAAAGCAAGAATACGAACACACTCAAATGAATTGATCGAAAATCACCTGGATCATCCTCAATGCGAACAAGATCGAGAATCTCCTTGGTGGGTGGAGAGAGAGTTTTGTGGGTGAGAAGACCACATAAGTGGAGAAGATTCTCGTCCTTGAGCAGCGTTTCGGACGCAACGGTCTTGGCATTCCAAGTGTGGATCCATTGGTCGAAGAGGGCGTTTGAAGGAGGGGCTGAGGCTGCCTCTCGCGAGACATCCTTGACCCAAGGGACGGAAGGCCAAGGGAAAGGGACGTCGGGTTGAACAAAGACGAATTTGTCACTCCACTTAGGAAGATTGGAGGGGATGTCGTTGATGAAGTGCGCACCATTGCGGCTTTTTAGGTATAGGCCTCGACCTAATTTACAAGGGCAGTAGCAGTAATGCGGCTTTTTAGGTATAGGCCTCGACCTAATTTACAAGGGCAGTAGCAGTAATGGAAAAAATCCAGGTCGAATCGACCTAGACGGATGCGACAAAGAATGATGTAAGTGGTTATGAAACGGATGGCATTAGGAGGAAGTTGGTGTAGAGGGAGCGAGAACCGCTCGCAAATGCGGATTATATCAGGGTTAAGCGGAAAGCGCAACCCAAGCTTAAATTTGACCTCGAAGAAGGTATAACAATCCTTGGGAAGATTGTCATACTTATCAAATCGAGAAGGGCTGTAGAAAGACTAGCCGACAGGTTGGCCAATTTTCGAGGGGTTTACCCAAGAGCTAGAGAGAGAACGGGAAGATGTTTTAGAGGTGGCTTTGGTCGAGGATTTTTTGGGAGGAGAGACAGAGGTACCAGGAAGGGGCGATGACGGAGGAATGGTCGAGGGGGGAGAAGAAATAGTTCGTCCCCTTCAGGCTCATCTAACTCACCAATGGTAGGTCGACGACGGCGGAGATGGATATTGTCCATGGAATCGCCGGAATTGGGGGAAGGAACTTTGGTTGTGAAAACACGCGTAGGAACAGTATCGCCGGGGCGAAGGATAGAGAGAGGAACAGCTTCAAGTGCAGAGGGCAATATTTCGACTGAATCAGAGGAGGTCTCAGAGTCTGAAAAAAATAAAAACAAAGAAAATAATGTCAAAAAGAAGCCGTCGCAAAAAAGAAAAGGGGGAGAAGGAAGACTAGGGTTTCCGAAAGGAACAACCCCGAAAATCAAAAGAGGAATTTGAGAAGCGCGAAGACAGAAATTTAAAAAATTTTTAGAGGAAAAACGAAATTTATAACACCCAATAGACAGATAGAGGTATTCAAAGCACAGATTCAACACAAAACACACCGACGATCCAATAGAACGCCGAAAACCCAAGAACACACAAAACAGAATTACAGAGAATACAAGGTCAAGTATGAAGAGACTTACTCATAACCGTGGATCGACGAACGATGGAAATTTGGGAGAGTGCTGGAGAAATTGCCGAGAGGGTGAGGAGTATTTGCAAAAGAGGATTTCGAGTGCAGAGAAATTCGAAAGCTGTGAAGGTGGAAAAAGTCCGAAAATTTGCTAAGTACTGATTTTATACTTTGGAGAGTTAAGGGGTGAAAGAGGAAGACCGTTAGATTAAAATTAAATCGTGCGGCGGAAAGCATTAAATTGCACGGTACTCCAAAGGGGCGCGTTATGCGAGGGGGCGTCATCATTAAAGTACATGACACACGCGAACAGGCGTGACGCGTGGCAAAAAAGCAGACGCGACAGGAAGGGTATGGGACAAACGACTTTATGTCTGACAATTAATGGGGAATTATTCAAAAGAATAAGCGGGAAACTCGCCAGCTGGTCGATATCTGAGGACAAGCCACCCAGAAGGTCGATAAACATGAACTCACTCTTAGATCGAGTCATTCAGACTCGACCAGAGTGGGGGGAAGACTAGATGATATAGGATATTATTTGTGTAAAGTTGAACCGGTCTGATGAGCCAGGCGAGGAGACCAAACCGGGAGCAAGCCGACCCAAAAGGCGGGAAGACTAGAGATCGAGCAGCCCAACGCTCGACCAGACAAGCGATCGAGCAACTCAATGCTCGACCTGACGAGAGATCGAGCAGCCCAACGCTCGACCAGACAAGCGATCGAGCAACCCAACACTCGACCAAATACGCCAAGCAGTCTATCACTCGACCAGATAAGTGATCGAGCAAGCTAGTCGACCTCAGCAGGTCGATCGTTTAGAGGAGCCTATAATCGACCTAGTCACAGACGCGTGTGTCGCAGGTGCGTGTGAGAACCTCTAACTGAATCGCAGGAGAATATTTACCCCATGTGCAGGGGGGACACGTGTCGACAATGTATTGGGTGATAGCGATAACCACCTCTGACAGCTCCCAACGTCCCGCGCCACCTCTGACATGTGCGCGGCGTGTCAGAGTACGGACAGGCAGTTTGGGCAGCCAACTCAGCCTTATCCGGGCAGCTATTAGGGCAGGTATCTCACCCCTATATAAAGGGGGTGAGCCTTTCTTCCTTAACACATTCTATTCATTCTTCACTTCAGTATACTCATACACTTACTGACTTAAGCATCGGAGGCTCTTCACCGGACACAACCCCCGGTGTAAGAGTTATTTGCAGGTTTCCGGCGTTCTACCGACAAGGGCAAAGATCGATCTGTTCAAACCGGGCCAAGACGCTCACACTTGCATTAACGCATATACTTCATCTCTCAAGATCTGATTTGAGCGTTGGAGGCTCTTCACCGGAAAACACCTCCGATGTGAGAGTTTCGTGCAGGTTCCATGTTCAACCGGCGAGGAGAACGAGCTCGAGACGGTTCCCAGCCGGTCGGAGTGCGAGGCTTGTATTACATATGATAATGATTTATAGGTATTATCAATCCTAATGATAACATTAAGAAGAATCAAATTAAATTAAATTTTGGTTAGTTTTTGATTTATAAATATAAAAAATTATTCTACTAGTCAAAACTATGTTCATCGTTCGAGTAGGTACTAATTAGAGCTATTAGACGAAACTAGTAGCTTGTTAAGTACCTTAATAAGAATCAAGTTCGGCTTGATTCATTTGATAAACAACTTAACTAGATAAGACTCAAAAAGATATATTTTATATAATTTCATATAATTCGACCAGTTTAATCATAAACAAATAGAGCTGAAGCTCGATTACTGTCTCGTTAAGAGCTCGATATCGACCTTACTAATGTGTTACAATTTCGGGTAAGCCAATGAATAAACTAGAAGGCAGGGTGTCGAACCGCAAACAACGTAAAAATTTGTGAAAACAAGACGCGAAATGCAGGAACATTTTCGCGGTTAAACGTTTTCCGCTAGTTCCTCAAAAATCAAACCCTTTTGCCGCCTAAAACCCTTTTCCCCAACAATTTTCCCCCCAATTTGTCTACTCATTTCAGATCTAAATCTTAAGATCGTCTAATTCTTCTCCTGCAATTCCCTTCCTCTGATTGAAAATCGCCGATATTATGGACAGCGACGACGATTACCAGTCGTTGTCGCCGCAAAAGGAACAGTCGCCGCAAGTCCAACACCGGCGTCTCAAGCGCTTGAAGAAATCCAGCTCAAAACCCTCAGATGATCCTTTGCTCGTATCAATCGACGACCCGCTGTTGTTTCCCAGCGACGATTTCGCGAGATTGGAAGCTTTGGAGAATGGTACGGCGACTCCCGATTCATCTTCCGACGACTCAGATTCAACCGAGGAGGCAGATTTATCCCGGAAGTCGGCATCGCAGGGATTTGATGAAATGGAAAGTGGGCCTGTTGAGAAGGTTAAGAAAACAAAGAGGGTTTTGGAGTTTGATGACGCTGTGACGGGTGGTGGTGATGCAGGGGAAGGGTTTGAGGGTTTTGAGCTGGATAAGGACGGGAAGAAAAGGAATGGAGAAGCGGATGTGCTTGGTGAAGGAGACGATGATATGAAGATAAAGAGGAAGAAGAAGAAGAAGAGTGGGGATAGCAATGGTGGTGATGGGTTGCAGACCAATTTGCGGGGTTCAAATAAAAGGACAGAAAAAAAGGTACCCAATATTGATCAGTTATGGTTCTATTTTCTGTGGCTCTTGGGTGAAGTTGTAAACTTGTAATGGTACTTAAACGTATGATGGTGTTTTTCTTTTTATTTTTTATTTTTTTTTTTGCAGGAAAGGAATGCTTACCTGAAGGAGCTTCATGCTGAATCTCAGAGACTATTACGAGGTTTGTTGTGCACGTTTAGTGTTTTTGAGTTGCAGTTGGTAACTTCTTTGGTTCTTTCTTGTGCTTTTCTGAGATTGTATGGGGTGAATGTGTGACTGGGCAGAAACAAGGGATGCATCATTTAAACCCATACCAGTTGTGCAGAAGCCTATATCATCAGTTTTAGATAAAATACGGAAGCGAAAGCTCGAAATCTCAAAGAAGTGGGTAGATTGCTCTTCTATTTTGCTGTGCTTCAATTTTTGAGTATTTTGTTGGATGTGATTGATTGGCATGTATTTATGGAAATTGTTAGTTGTATAGCAGATTTGTGGACATACAAGACCGGAATTATGTTTATGATGGAAGTATCAGTCCAAAAGATGGAATAGGGGACCTTGATGTCTCCTATGAAGAGGGGGAAGAAGAAATTTTGGAAATATTAGTGGAAAAGGAGAAAGTTGCGCCTTCCCTGGAAGAATCAAGTAGCTTGGCTGCTTCCAGTATGGACGGACTCACAGACACTGCTAAACAGACAATTAATGAGAATCATCTGCAACAAGTCTGTGCTTACTTTTTGATGTCCTGTATTTCATTTCATTTGATTTAATCTTATATATCAAACTTTCTGTGTGGTTCATTGATGTTACCTTTCTTTTTCTCAAGTTACAAAAATATTCTATAATGTAGGAAACGACATAAGTTGTTAGATTTTTTTTTTTATTTTTTTATTTTTTCAAGCATTGCACCTTAATTATTTTTCACTTCTTTGCTGCAGTCACCAGTTGAAGATGCACAACCTGCATTTAGAGCACCGGTGTTTGACACAGAGGTTACCTGACAAAATTTGTTTGAGGAAGCTGGTCATTCCTGCTGATGTTAATTTTTCAAATTGCTTATTCAAATTTATTTCTTCAGGATCTTTTCGATGACTTAGAACCAAATGGTATAAAAGCCATAGCAAGTGATGAACCGAGCAGTCCTATGGAGGAAGACTTTGCTCCATCCTTGCTTACTTTGAACTTGAAGTTTGATTCAGCTCCTGTTGATGACAGGTTAGTGGATCTTGGGGCTTGTCTTTTAATTTCCATGTCTGAGGCTTTTGGATTTGGTAGTTGAATTTTTCAGCTTTTTTTTTTACAACTACCGTTACATTGTGTCTGCTTGTCTCATGTGGTGGCGGTATCATTTACTAAGAATGTTTCACAAAGAAAATGACCACCATTTTTTAAAATTTCCCAGTGCTTCAGATGAAGATGATAATGACAAAGAGAATGTTGATCCCCATCCCTGTGGAATTGCCGATGGTAGCTCAAGTCCAAAAGGGGAATTTGCAAAAGACTTTATTGATGATGAAGCAGAGGAAGAAGATGACAGCGATAACGATCTTAGTCGCTTCAAAGAAAATGATGATGCAGAGGATGTTGAAGATTTTGTTGAACTTAATGATATGATAGCAACTGGGTACGAAGAAAAGTCCATCGACAATGAAAGGCGTAATGAACTTCATCAGAAGTGGCTTGAGCAACAAGATGCTGCGGGAACTGATAAGCTTATGCAGAAATTGAATTTTGGTTCAGGACTCAGAGAAGCAATGTTACTGGACAAGGAACCTGAAATTGATGAGAACGATCAAGAACTTGATGACGATGATGATGATGACGACGTTGACGATGAAAGTGATGGAGGGGAAGAAAATCCTCTTCCACGGAAAACTGCCAGAATAAATACAAAAAAGGCCAAACAGGTAATTTTACAGATGTTGACTGACAAAGACGATGCTTATGTATCAGATGATGATGATGACACACAAAGGCAGCATGCTCGTCGCCTCCTTATTAGAAAAGTGAGTTCTGTTAAATATGTGTTCTAATTTTTTGATGGACAGCAATCTTGTTTCCATCAGTTCTTTATTGTTTAGGCTGATGCGTTGAACGGCTCCTGGTCTTTATTAAATGTGAACAGGAAGAGCAGACTACTGTTGTGTCACCTGCCGAAGATGAGAATTCTCGGGAAGTCTTTGGTCTCATTAAGAAGCTAAATATTGTCCCTGACAATAAGAAAAAACCAAAAGCATTGTGTAAGACTTGTCTTACCTTTTTTTTTTTTTTTTTAAACATTTACAAGTGTTTATACAGTTTCCTATTCTGATCATTTGTTGTATGCAGCATTCTTTGACACGGTATTAAGGGGAGGAAATAGCAACAGCTCTTCAAAGGTAATCCCTGAAAACTTGGGAATATGAGTTGTATAGCATTGAAAGTCAATCTTGTTAGTTTATGTGGTCCTTCATCGCACAGCACCTTCCACACAATCTTGTTCACAAAGAATGATTGCTGTAATGCTGTTGGATGCGTGATGTTATTCTGTTGAGTTTGAGAAATAAATTATATCTAAATCATATCAGGCCCCTAAAGATTTGTATGCTTATGTTGAGTTGCAGAGCCTGCTACAATTTATCACCCGATGTTCTATTATGCTATTCCCCTGTGCATTTCAGTTTAACTGGACATAATATATTCTTTCTTTTCGCTTCTCCCCCTTAGATTCTCATGGTGAAGATTACCTTGCAAATGCAATTTTCATATACTGGGTTCTGGATAACAAGGAAATTGAAATATTTGTTTTGAATGTCAACTGCAGTCATCTTTCCTTGGAAGAGTATCAAACCATTCAATTTCATCATCTCACAAGCAAGGGTCAGGAGCAGTTCGAGCTTTTATTTTTGGAAGGGATGACAGTAATAGCAGAAGTTCCATGTCAATTTCAGAGGATTCTTCGGATAATGTGAGTTTCTTTGCATGAAACACGATAAACAGTAAGACATAACTACACCAAGTTATTAGATCTTGACCTTAGTCTAAATACATAATTACTCTTTTAACTATTGGTTAAGTCTTATAGATACATCTTGGCACATGTGTTATCACAATTGAACCTTATGGGCTACTTTGTAAAAATATTTACCTCAAGGGGCTATATTGTGTTTGCAACTAGTGATATATGTGGATTTATATATGTGCAATCAGGATTGTAGGTGTTTTACCATAAAGAGGGTTATATGGTGTGTTCACATCGCTAGATTGCGTTTATACTATTCGTCATACTGCTATTGCTTTTCTTTTTGTACTGCTACCTTGAATATAAATATGCCTCATTAATTTCATAAAGCAATAATCCTGAACTTGTACAACGACCCATGAACAAGATATGCCACCTTTTCTTGTCACATGCAGGTTTCTCAAGAAGCTCGACCCACCAGGACTCTAACTGCTAAATATATCAGCTCGCAGACCAAATTCACAAGCCAAAGCCGACAACCTGCTTTAGAAACATCATCAAGGACTTCATTGCTCGATATTTTGAAGCAATCGTCATCACGGCCACAAGCCTGCAACACAGACACTACAGTCGATCTGATGAAAGGCATATTTGCTTTGAGAGCTCCAAAAAACCCGACTAAGTTGGAAGGAAGAAGCTAAAAATCACCACCTGCAAAGAAAACTGTATCTTTTGCATTGAGTGTAGGTGCTATCGGCTTTTGCATTTGGTATGTATGTTTGCATCGGCTTTTCTCCTTCTCGGGTTGATGGTTTTGGTGCATGAAATCCGTATGCAATAAGGTTATGCGGTTATATGTGAGGTGAGGTTGTCTGCCTGCTTCAAGGGTAAAGCTTAGGGTTCTAATTTTATACAAGTATATGGATGTGTGAGAATATTCAGCATGACATGTAGTAAGCCTTTTAAGTTGGATTAAAACCTCTAATTTGCTTCAAGTTTGAGTTCTTTTTCCTTCTTCATCATCTTCTTTTACCTATAAGCATGACAGAATTTGGTGCTAGAAATTGTTGGTTTATGAGAATGTTGTGCAAAATTCTTGTTGAAGAGAACTTGATGACCATCTTGATTGTAATGTGTAGATTCACTTGTAGTGAACAATATACACCATCAATTGTTTTACTATCATAATTTACAACAGTTATCTTGATGATGTGGAAGAAAATTCACAAACATCAAAAGTCAAATCATCCTTTAGCAGTGAGAAATTTTACTTAATTACTATTTTTTTTATTATTATTTTAGAAGCTTTTTTCAGTTATATGGTGTATGAAATTGTAAACAATGAAAAAAAAATATATAAATATAATAATTCAAGCATGGCAATAATGAGTAATTAACTCTCCTTATGGAACTATTCATTCGGGATTTGCAATCGTTTGATCAACTATCTCCGATGGTTACATGATGATCTAACGATTACTAACTCTGACGGAATGGTTCCGTAACGGGGAAGCGTAGCATTTCCTTAACTAATATCTAAATATATATATGATGTTACACAATGTATTGTTATGAATTACAACGGGAACCTATGAACTGAAGATGATGATTTCAATTCTTACAAAGTGAACTAAAACAAAATAGAAAATACAATAGAGAAGTGGAAAAATGCCGAGGCGATTGCTCTTTCCGCAAGACGAAAACACCCAGTATACTGCTGATGGGTACAGGCGTCTCGTCCCCAAAGATACAACGGCTTACGTCTCGAACGCTGTAGCACACCAGAATTTGAGCTCCGACGAACTGGAATGAAGTCGAGAACAGAGCAGTATGATATGATGCGTGAGACTTTGAGAGTATTCAGAGTGCATGCAATGTTGTCTATCTTTCACTGCAGCTCTAAGTCCTATGTATAGGACTTCCACATCTTGAGAGAAACCAGAAGTCATATCTGCCACTTAAGGCAGAGATAATGGGCAGAAAATGTTTTTAGGTGTTAATTCACCATTAACCTGAAGTTATCACCATTAACTGGTAATCAACACCACAAGGTCAGGTGTTACATTTCACATGAAAGGTCATGTGTCCAGATCCATTGTACCTGGAGAGGTCTCACTCGGGTTGGGTCAAAACCCGAGACCAAATCCAACTAGAATTGGATTTTTCATTTGGGCCTAAAGTTGCAAATAAATTTGCAGCAAAAAGATATATAGTGATTGGGCCCAAGCCCCAAGCCCAACCGCCCAAGGC